TAATAGGAGTCTTCCAATGCCACTGATCGACTACTTCAAATGTGGTTAACGAGGCTGTCATCTTATTCCTTATATACTACATATCGTTACATGAATGTATGTGTACACTGCATTTTGACACATGTGTATGGTGGGATGGAATAATACATCACATGTTTATTCTTTGCAAAGGATGCTTTTACTGTACAATACCTGCTTTGAATTACAGGTCAATGTTGTGGAAACACGAACAAAAATTTGAAACACAAACATTATTCTAAGGTTTCTGACAGGTGACCTTTAATTTCCTTTATGTCGTTATTTCATTATATATACATGGACATTGCTTTCAATAAATGTTGCGCAAATCTCTTCTTGTCGTTTCTAAGTTAATGAAAGATTAGACATATGTATCTACCTTGGTAGAGTATGCTGGGTTTAACATTGAACAGTATTTCAGTTATATTTTGATATGTCAACATTACAGTTAGGTGACACCCATATATGGTATTGGTGAATCATTGGGAATTTTTGATTCCACACCATGTGTAGCAGTTTAACACACTTCTGGCATCATACACCACTAAACCGATGATCCAGTAGTGCCCCAACAATATTTCATTAGACAAATAACGACTTGTTGATACATGTTTAAGATTAGTAGTTAAGAATAATAGTGATGGTTCCTTCACTTAGGTAGTTATAGTCTCACAAGTTAAAAGTTTACTAGGTTAGAGATAAGATAAAGGTAGATATTGCCTTCTATAAATAAACAGTGTAAGTCTTTGTCTATACTCAAACAGTCCTACAATACCGGCAAAAATGGAACGAACTGGGTGGATTGTTCTCCTGGTTGTCATTAAGGTATCAGCACTAACAGCACATACTGCAGGAGAAGGTGGGTTCATCCGTACATTAAAACACGTCTCAGGGAGTGGGTCATATTAAAGGGCAAGTTGTATTTTTTCATCATGGAAAGTATTTACCTAGTAGTTTTAGAGGCCAGACAATAAAAATATCACAAGTATCTAATTTATTTTATTCATAAAATCGGTTCATATGTTTTACATTTCCCACGAGTTCTATTTCCATAATAAATACACCATGGCTTATGCCCCTTGCAATATGACGTCATTGGTGCCAATTGATAAAGTCATGACTTTATTAGACTCGTTTCACGTGGTGTATGTAGAGGTGTGTGGTGCTATCTTCTCAGATGCGCAGCATATTGTTTTGTACGGTGCCGCGCTGTTCAAGATACAACAGGTGATGTGGGTCTTCTCTTGTTTCCACTTGATTCTCATCGTTTCCATACCGCGAAGCTTGCTCGTTTTGGTTCAAAAGCGTATGGTTTTGCGATTTCTTGAAGGTGTCAAGGGAACTTCTTCGGACCAGGCAATGTATCGGATGCCATGTTGTCTCACCATAAACTGGTACTTGATATCTTTTGCGTTATGACAAGACAGGGACCTAGTTAAATTGGCACCAATTACGTCATAATCTAAGGGGGATAACCCAGGCCTGTTTAGCTCGGAAACCGAAGGCCTCATAACGGCATGACATTTTCACACTTATTGTGAACTCCCTACTTTCACTGCGAGAAAAATGAGTGTATATTTTCAAACAATGATACTAACTAATTCTAAAATTGTGTTTTGTTTAAAATAAGAAAGAAAGTGATTTTTGCCTGTACACTTCCCCTTTAACATTCTTTAGCGCCGCAAGACTCATTATAAGCTGATATCGAACCTTTACATATTCAATGAAAAAATAACATTTTAAAAACACAGCTCTCTTTTGGAAAGTGCCGATTTAAATACATGCATTATAGTGCATTAAATACAAATACTGTGGAAACCAGAAGGCTGCCCCTGAACTGCCTGAACAATATTTGACAGAGTTTAGGGATTTTTAAGTGATCCATTCATATAAGATTCACCACCATTTGGCCTTTTACACTCACTGAAATCTGAAATCTCAGTGAATAATCGACACCCGTTATTATCTGGCGTTAATTTATTTTATTCTTTTCATGCTTTCATTCTCACTAACAAGACAATCGTGAAGGTTTTCTCTTCATAACATTTTCGAATAAAAAACAATCCTAGTTCTAATATGTGTCGTGAGTCGATGTTAAGCTGTGGAAATGATGAGAAGTCATTTGTGGAATAGTTCCTAGGGGAGCACGTCAGCTGTGTATAGGTTGACATGCTGAGGATTGAGTGAAGGTAGCTTATGCCTTATCTGCCTTATCACCTCACATTTGTATGATTATTCTATTTTAGGGACCTCAGCGGCTAAACCTTTCTCCTTTGCTAGTTACTATGGTAACCACATGGTTCTTCAAAAGGCACCCCAAAGGACAACTATATGGGGCTATGCTGCAAAAGAAGGGGAGACAATCACATTGAGCATTAGTGGTAAGGGACAGGTGAATACAACATCCTTTAATGGACCTATGGCAGTAACCCCTGTGTGGTCAGTTCAACTTCCTGCCATCGGTGCTGGTGGGCCTTACAACATCACAGCGACATCTAGCGAGGGCAGCATTGGCTTAACTGATGTGTTATTTGGGGACGTCTGGATATGTTCCGGTCAGAGCAACATGCAGTTTACACTTTCGATGGTAAGTTTTGTATCAGTGGAGGGATGTTCGTAAATGTTTTACCATGAAGTACTGGTAGTCCTCAATGATTGTTTACTAAATTTTGTTTGGGTGAAGAATTTAAAGATTCCAATTCGTCTCTATATTTTTACAGTTTTACTTGGTATGAGAAAATCTCTTTTTGGTTATCCTGCCATGTAGAAGACAATGTGTTTGATACATATCTTACTGTTGTTGGCTAGATTTCCAACGGACAAAGTTACCAAAATAAGCCGTTTGCACTCATCATAAATACGATCCAATACATATACACCAGTGTGTAGGAAGACGCGTCATAAAGAAATGAAAACCCCATCTTGAAAATTTAGCCCATTTAACAACAATCAATTCGGTTTCGAATGAAATGTACAAGTGTTAAATCTACGTTCGAAACATGTAAACGGAAAACACAGTAGTTTATCTCCTAATTCGGTATAACGCATGCAGGCTTTTAATGCAACGGAAGAGGAGACAGATGTCCCCAACTATCCCAACATCCGGGTGTTTACAGTTGCCTTGGGAGGGTCTCCGGTCGAAGAATATGATCTGCTGAATATCAGTCAACCTTGGTCTGTTCCAAGTGCAGGTAGAACAAGCAGCTTCAGTAATGCCAAGTCATGTGTATCTTCATATGTCAGCACCTTTGTAAACTTATTTCAACATTTTTCTTCAAAAGTATTGTTTCAATAGTTCAACGTTGCTGCCGTCTTACAGATGCAACAGGTGTTACGAGATCCCTTCACTGAAGGTTAATTGAAACAGTGTCGTTTATCTGCCTACCTTTAACAGAATAATCACGTTGGTGCCCACATTCAAAATGTAGTTTGATACTGACATTTGACCATAAAGGTTGTTTAACGCCCTTATGTACAGTGATAGTGATATAGTCAGGGTGATACAGATTTCTCAATCAGTGAATAATGTCATTCTACATCATCTTTTTACAGATGTATTTTTCTCCATATTTCTAAATAATATGGCAAAACAGACATAAGGCTACTATTGGTTCAACAGATGTCATAAGATATCTATGCCTCCTTGTGTGATAACACTGGCTAACTGGACTAGGTCATCCTTCATCTTCCTGCCATTAACAGAATAAGCATGTGTCCCCTACATTCAAAATGTAGTGCGCTATGGGTGTTTTAGTTCTTAGGTTCCTTAAACAGTAATAATGACGTGGTCATTGTGATACAGATTTAATCAGTACATAAAGTATACTGACATCGTCTTTAGGTATATTGTGTCATATACATGCATATGTTTCATGTAATATCTTATGATATAAAGTGTTCTTCATGATACTAAGCTACTATTGGCGGTCCGGATTGGTCGTACTTTTCGGGAGTCTGCTGGTTATATGGCAAGTACCTGTCTTCACATCTCAAATACCCCATCGGCCTCATAGCATCATCATACGGAGGAACCCGAGTGGAGGCGTGGTCAGCTCCCAATGTTCTCAAGAAATGTGGTGTAAGCGATGTGTCTGGTGTGAACCCGAACTCTGCTTCTGTTCTGTGGAATGCCATGATGCGACCCTTCCTGAACATGACCATATACGGAGCCATCTGGTATCAAGGTAAAAACTGTTACACATTAGACCTGGTGCCATATTCATCTATTTCAGTGGATTAATGTCTCACAAAATATTATAAATGAAGTACTTTTTAATATAGCTAAAGGGATATAGGTAAAAATACAGAAAAGGGTACTTTCCGTTGTATCTTAAAAGCATGACCATGTGGAGATTAGTTCAAGATGATACAGATATGTCTGCATCTGGAAAATTCCAGATTACACCTCTCACATTACAACTCTCTACAAATTAATCTTGGCTCCCGGTGCTCTTGTTGTGTGGAAGAGTTGTTGTAGGGGCAGTAGACGAGAGTATCACTCCTCAATACATCTTAAACTACAAAGAAGAAAATAGCGCCCAAATATAATGAAAACTGATCTCACATGATTGTTTGACTCCCAGTAGGCTGAAAGTGTACACGTGTATGATATGATATATATATGATCGAATCAAAGTAAATTCATCATTGTGAGCATCCGGTCCTTACTTAGACAGCACGCTTGGGAAACGTGAAATAAAGTCTGCATCCTCAACTCCTATTTTGTGATTTAAGAGGGGCTTCTGTGTAAATAACTTCATAAACGAGCTTAACAAATTATGAAGAGTTGATGCCAGTGTCTTACAACCTATGAATCAAATAATGAACCAGAGCCACTGTGGTTGATGACTCAAAGGATGAGCAGACCACCATTTGACCTAACAATGAATCAGTGCAACTTCTCTGGATGACTCAGTGGCACACAAACCACTTGTAGACCAAGCAATGAACCACTATATGGTGCATCAATATTCTGTGACCAGGTGAAGCCAATGCCGGATCTCCAACTATGAACCAGTACAACTGTACATTCCCAGCCATGATAGAGGACTGGAGAGACAAGTTCCATCAAGGATCAGGAGGACAAACTGACCCAGTCTTTCCTTTTGGATTTGTACAGGTAGGATTTTCTATGATAGAAGATTGAGGCTCAGAGTCTCAATAATCCATCATAGGGAACAACACACGGGTCAACACCGCAACATGTTATCATTTCTCATGTTACCGTAAGTATGTGGTGCGGTCGGGTAGCCTAGTGGTTAAGGCGTTCACTCGTCATGCCGAAGACCCGGGTTGGATTCCCGACATGGGTACAATGTGTGAAGCCCATTTCTGGTGTCCCCGCCGTGATATTGCTGGAATATTGCTAAAAGCGGCGTAAAGCCATATTCACTAACTCACTACCGTAAGTTTGTACAACTTCTGTTCCCGCTACAAATCTCTTTTAGTTAAAAGACAGCCAGTGTAGGGGACCTTCACTAAGATATAATAACTGTAGTCGGAAATTATTTCTATATGTGTTGTATTTGCCCGGTTGAAAGGTCAAACCCTCCTTACAAGGTGTGAGTGTTTGAAAGGTAAAGGTATTCACTCATTATTATTCTGCAACCACAGAGTTGTCATCAGATTCAATCAATGTTCAATATTATATTGTTTTCTTGGTTATTTTAAACATTTTCATCAATTTTCTTTTCAAGATAATCAAATCTGTTAATACATCTTTTTCTATGGAAAGACGATTAAACTGTTAGAAGCATTCATTATTGTACATGCGTTTGACCAAATTCTGGGAAACATAGTTTGTTTCTACTATTTCATAATGGAACACTTAAATTATTTCCCGTATTATTTGCTTCATTAGCGTTTGAGACCCGTGAAGATCCTGGGTAGATTAGGTATTCAGCAACCCATGCTTGACGTAAAAGGCGACCATGTTTGTCGTCAGAGGCGACTAACAGGATCGGGTGGGCAGGCTTGCTGACTTGGTTGATGCATGTCATCGAGTCCCAAATGCGTAGATCGATGCTCGTGGTATCAAACACTGGATTGTCTGGTCCAGACTCGATTTTTACAGACCGCCATCATTTACCTGGAATATTGCTGATTGCGGCGTTCAACAACAAACAAACAAAAACTAGCGTTGAATTATTTATGGGGATATTCGTCTTTGAGACACATTTCCCCAACAGAAATAATTATTATATGTTTGTATGCAGCTTGCCCCATACAGAAACAATGACACCATTACAACCGGCTTCACAGACATTCGGTGGCACCAGACAGCTGACTATGGCTACGTCCCTAACGACAGGATGAAGAATACCTTCATGGCGGTGGCCATGGACCTGCCGGACTTTACCTCTCCATACACAGGGTATATCATTATGCCTACGATGTTCCTTTAAAGCGATAACATGAAATTTGATTTATTCTTTGGAAAATGTTGTGCACTTTATACTGTTGAATGTACTTTCAGTATCCACCCCCGGGACAAGCAGGATGTGTCTATGCGTCTGTGCACAGCTGGACTTGCTGTGGCCTACAACCAAATTGAGTACTCTAAATTCAACGGCCCCATTCCTTCTTTGTTCACAATCTGGGTAGCTGACAGCACTATACAGATAGACTATGATAACAAACAAACTGTTCTGGACATCAGATCAACAACAGGATTTGAGGTGATTTCCAATGAACATTTATTTCAAGACTAGATACCTTTGGTGGGAGAGAAAACTGGCATATTCCAATGGATTTAAGGAAATCGAGACCTCTTTCATTTACAGAAATCATGAATAATTTCAACAAGTACAAATATAGATATGCAACAAAATATTAAACCTGAAAACTGAATTGCAGTCAGTTGAGCTTAAAAGCTATTCAACCAGCCACAAGTCAAATTCTTTTACAGACAATCAAATGGTAGCAATGTTTATTTAGAGCCCAAGACATCGATCAATTGTTGGAAGTTGACTTTAAAGAGTTAAAGTTCATTGGTATTTTCCTGATTTGACACAATATCACAGTCAACATGTTTTAGATATTGAAATATGTTAAAATGCCTTGAAATGACTCTGAAACCATCAGACTAGACAGAAGTGGTTATTAACGGAAATGTTCGCACGTAATATGACAATAACCTTGTCGACAATTCCAATACCAAAGTGTCTTCAAAATCGATCACGACTAAGCGTCAGGTGTGACTTTGACAACTTAACACCAGTCTCTTGAATTTACTCCATTCACCCTCTGAAAATGTGTTGTGTAACGCCACACTCAGCAATATTCCGGCTATATGACGGCGGTCTGTAAATAATCAAGTCCCAACCAGACAAGCCTGTGACTGACATCATGAGCATCAATCTACACATCTAGGATACGATGACATGCATCAACCAAGTCAGCGAGTCTGACCACCCGATCCCGTTAGGCGCCTCTAAAGACAAGCATGGGTTTCTGAAGACGAATTCTGACACGGTTCTTCACGGGTCAGATGAGTCAGAGCTGGCAAAGTGGCTGGAGCAGCGGTCAAAGAACAATGTTCCATCGAATTCCAGTCCGGGGAATACATTCGTCATTGTGCTGTATGGTTCCCCTCTCAAAACACTCTGCAAATATTCCGGCCCTATGTTATCTTTTAAATCGGCCATTAGAAAGATGCTCCTATGCTATGTTCATATCTCATCATATCTTGCAATTTCCTTTCCTTGGGATGTACAGTCCCGTAGATCCGTTAAAACCTCTCCCACAAACAATAAATGGTCACGGCTAAATCTATCATGTTCTACCAAATGGCAGTACAGCCAATGATAACTTACTGTAATGACAAACACGACCGTCACCATCGTAAACGAAACAGAAGGCGACTCATCTGTGAACAAACTGCAACTGCTTGGCATTCAATCGTCTCCATTACTGAAGATAACGTGCTGGATGATGCACTAAACAGCGGTGGCCGCACAGACGTTTTTTTAGCACTAACATGATAAAGCCTATAACTAGCCCATTGGCTGTCCATAAGGTACCAGCGGTCTCTTCCGGTGTAAGGCGTCTTCCTAATGGCATTTTAAATGGAAAGCCATCCTTGCATAAAACGACTAAGAGCGATGTTGCAAATGGCATGTACGTGTCTTAGAAACTACTGCTCAAGAACGTCCATTTTCACATATGCATGCATATAACAATGCATGAGAAGCGTGTGGATCTCTCCAGCTTTGGTCAGACCAAGTTTATGGACGTGAACATCAGCCGAAGTGAATAGTATAACACATGCTTTCCATATTATTTCATGAAAATATCAGTCTCTTAAGTTACATGTATGTATATTTTGAAGGAAAATGTTACCTTTTCTGAACAGCCATTTCTAGGACGTTTCCAAAATGCGTTTGTCTTCAGCAAGAATGCAACAAACCCATCGATTATTATATTGTTTTTGATTTCGCCTTAATTCTTCTGCGATTCAGGTATCATGCATTACCTTGGACAAAAGGTCTGCTCTCGTTGAAGTCTCGGAAAACATTACGTGGTTCCCTCTTCTAATGGCGTCACATGACGACACGTCAGTGACCTTCAACTACAGCCAAATATGTCTACAGCCTAAAGACATGATGGTGTCTGCACTACGTTACGCCTGGAGAGAGTCGCCCTGTCCCCTTAAACAGTGTGCAGTCTACAACAAGGAAAGTGGCTACCCGGCGCCACCTTTCGTCAAATATATCCTTGAAGATAAATCTAATGTCAAAATAGTGAAATAAACCGTGTCAGAACACTTGGTTTGATTTGTGTGGGTTTTTCAAAAAAACAAAACAACTAGTAATGACCACTGTGACAGAACAACAGTAGGGGACACACTATACGCACTTAAAAACGCACTGGGCTCGTAGATAAAAGTACATATTCTTGCAGTTAACGCACTTTATGATATTTGCTGCATGCATACATCTGCATTAAAAAAGCAGGCGTAGTGTTCCCCTTTGAAGATACATGTATTTAAGGCTTGGCAGCGAGACAGATTCTAGGAGAACATCTTCCCTAGGCAAGTGAGTTAACTGACTATAAAACTCCAGTTTCCACCCTTGCCGAACTAGGCTGGAATTTCCAGGTTCGATCGTAAGGCCACCTGTGGCTATTATGAGTTATGTCCCTTCTATATCCCTCCAATTGACCAATCAGATTCCAACTCTCGTATCACTTGCATTTTCAAACAAAATGGCGGCGCCCTGTCAAGACGATCTGATCGATAATCAAGATCTATATTGTAATAAAACTGGTCTTACCTCGCGAAGTTCCAAACACTTGAGCATCTTCATTAAAAACATGAACAGATTTGCAAAATATCTGTCGACGCCCAGTTAACGGTACATATACTTTGCAAATCCTGCAGTCGACCGAAATCAGCACGTTGAAGTCCATGTTGGCGAACCAGCGGTGTAGCTACCGCGTAGCACCAAAAACAAATGCTTACACTCTGAAATAACAAAAAAAATAATTTACAAAAAAACAACTTTAGTGTGTTCTCCTTTCAGTCGTTTGTTATAGCAGAGACCATAGTCGAGCCAAAATGTAACTCCGGAATTCAAGCCTAGTTCGGCAAGGGAGGAAACGGAAGATGTTTGGGCAACGGCCGGACATATATTATGTTACCAGGGAATGAAAGAATGTTGAATAACTAAATGACATCGCTCGTGTAGGAGATATACTTGTCACACCTGAAGGAGAAATAACACTGCCTTTGATATTTAAAAGATCTATTTAGCGTGGTTCAGGTTTGAGGCTCGGTGTCTTATGGTTGTAAGCTCTCGTTCAGCCGAGTAGCTTGCCTATTGTTTTGACCATATGAAGTTCAATGCAGTTACCACACATTCATAGTTGCTTTAAACCGAGCTGCCTGGGTAGGTATATAGGTAATATGGACTTAGTGAGTTTGGTTTAACGCAACCTTGAACAGTATTTCAGATTTATCAAGGGCTGTCAACTTGTAATACCATCATATCTTCACTGAAAAGTACCGTATATGGTCCATAGTTTATATAATAAATGTAGATATGTTACCTTCATAATATAATCTATAAAAACTTGAGTGAATCTTACACTTACACGGGCGTTCTAAAAAGCAACAAATTACATTTATCTAGTTAACTTTACTCTAGATATTTTTCTTCGAGGGACAAAGATCTACGTACCTGTAACATGGCCATAAGAAACCGTACAAGTTTATGGATAACAACTTCTGTGTTATTTCATTTTGCGACGTTACGATGTAGATTCTAACACCGTCATCAAGCTATTTACTTACCAACTTCTAGAATGCCAATCAAACAGTATAGTGATCACACTGCTGAATCAGGAGCGTGTTATTGTTGTCTGATCTGTGAATAAGTTACCCGTCAACTTGAGCGACCGATAGTGAGAATTGTTCGTAGATTTTAGTAATGGGAGGTAACTCTAACTTACGAACCCTCACATTGATAACAATAACATTGGTCACGAGGGTTTGTATTTTTAACTTTGCTCAGTTCAGTCTCTATCTGGATCTATATACAGGAGTGCTAAGTATTCAGGAATACTTTATTCATCTGCTATTGCCGAATGTAGATGTGTCATCGCGGGACTAACTTAATTGACCGAGGCTTCCGCGTTCACCTGTTGAGCTGTTGAGCTGTTCACCTGCTGAGCTTGAGTTGAAATACTTTACTACGGTAGCGAAAACGGGTTTAGCAAGAAAGATGGGGTCGATTGATTTCCTAGTCCTACACTGCGTGTTTCTGTCGCTGCTTTTGTTGACTGCTGCTCAGGCAGTAGAAGAACATTTTGAGCATGAAGATGAAATCTACGGAATGTTTCAGAACGGATTTCCGAATGACGGTATGGGACTTGAAATGAAAGTAACTTTTTGAATGCTCTGGTACATTATGATTGATAGTGATACAGTAAAGCACATGGGTCATTAAGTGCTAGTGTGTACATTGCATACTATAGTATGACAGAGAGTAGCTACTGTCTGCAACAAATCAACACAATAATGAACAATGTTTAAATCACTATGCAAATGTGTACAGTATGCAGTCAATCCAGAACCGTATGTCCTCAAATGCAAGCAAGTATATATATTTCTTCAATCATTGTTTTTATTTTATCAAGAACATTATTAGAATATTCCCCAAGTGTTTTTTTCTTTGTCGTTTTTATTATGTGTTACAAATAAAAGTTGTACTATGCGAGCATATATATAGTAGATCTACATCCTTTATTCATAATATATGATATGTGAAATGTGAAATGTGAAAACACCATTGGCACACCTTACCGTGTTAAGCCTAATTTAAGCACCTTGCTTCAATAAACGCTCCCTGACCAACTTCTTGACAGATTGATAAGTATAGACTTTATAGGCACCCCCTTCATGGACCAAACATGTACAAGATTGTATATTTCCTCCTAGTCCTATATATATATTAGATATGTTTCAGAAACAGCAGTGAAGAAGGGGTATGTTTCATTGCCCATGAACTTTTATCTAAAATATTTCATTGATGTTTGAACTAAGTATGTTCACTTCCGTTCGATCTCTCTTTGACAACAAATTTAACTCAGTGTTTAGTTTTATTAAGTCACTAATTTTGGTACACAATGCAGACATATTTGTTTACATTTATAGAAGTGCTAATACTTTGGACAATGTGTAATCCCTCCCACATCTTGCTGACATGACCCAGCTGTGTCCCATTGGTCATCCCTCCAACATCAAGCTGACATGACCTAGCTGTGTCCCATCAGTCATCCCTCCCACATCTTGCTGACATGACGTAGCTGTGTCCCATCGGTCATCCCTCCCACATCTTGCTGACATGACCCAGCTGTGTCCCATCGGTCATCCCTCCCACATCTTGCTGACATGACCTAGCTGTGTCCCATCGGTCATCCCTCCCACATCAAGCTGACATGACCCAGCTGTGTCCCATCGGTCATCCCTCCCACATCTTGCTGACATGACCTAGTTGTGTCCCATCGGTCATCCCTCCAACATCAAGCTGACATGACCTAGCTGTGTCCCATCAGTCATCCCTCCCACATCTTGCTGACATGACCCAGCTGTGTCCCATCGGTCATCCCTCCCACATCAAGCTGACATGACCCAGCTGTGTCCCATCGGTCATCCCTCCCACATCAAGCTGACATGACCCAGCTGTGTCCCATCGGTCATCCCTCCCACATCTTGCTGACATGACCCAGCTGTGTCCCATCGGTCATCCCTCCCTCATCTTGCTGACATGACCAAGCTGTGTCCCATCGGTCATCCCTCCCACATCAAGCTGACATGACCCAGCTGTGTCCCATCGGTCATCCCTCCCACATCTTGCTGACATGACCAAGCTGTGTCCCATCGGTCATCCCTCCCACATCTTGCTGACATGACCCAGCTGTGTCCCATCGGTCATCCCTCCCTCATCTTGCTGACATGACCAAGCTGTGTCCCATCGGTCATCCCTCCCACATCAAGCTGACATGACCAAGCTGTGTCTCATCGGTCATCCCTCCCACATCTTGCTGACATGACCAAGCTGTGTCCCATTGGTCATCCCTCCCACATCAAGCTGACATGACCCAGCTGTGTCCCAACAGTCATCCCTCCCACATCAAGCTGACATGACCTAGCTGTGTCCCATCCGTCATCTCTCCCACATCAAGCTGACATGACCCAGCTGTGTCCCAACAGTCATCCCTCCCACATCTTGCTGACATGACCCAGCTGTGTCCCATCGGTCATCCCTCCCACATCAGGCTGACATGACCCAGCTGTGTCCCATCGGTCATCTCTCCCACATCAAGCTGACATGACCCAGCTGTGTCCCAACAGTCATCCCTCCCACATCTTGCTGACATGACCCAGCTGTGTCCCATCCGTCATCCCTCCCACATCAAGCTGACATGACCTGCGCCCAGATGTTTTCATGTCACTCAATTGAAGTTACATAAAATTTATCAAACAAACATGTATTAATTGTATCGTGTCATATGTTCCAAATAGGAAAGTACACAGCATTAAACACTGTTACTTCAAAAGTACACTGCAGGGTGGTAGTATCACAATTCACTAATGTATCAATAATGTTGTTACACCTGAGGTTGTGGCTCACGATACAAATACATTCATGTATCAATTCATGTTTAAGTGCTGTATCGATTTTCAAAGTGCAATATTTACAAAGTTTAGCAATAGCCCTTCCTGACAAATGTAGGGGCAAGTGTTAACTTACTGCCTGTCATGAAAAAAAGCTAGATCTGATTGCATAATTATATGAGCACGATAACCACGATAATAGGGCTGGGATGAGTCCAAATTTAGCACCCGAGTACCCAACCCCCTATTACCCGACCCTACCCGGACACCCGGTGAATGTCACAAGTGACGGGAACAAAATGTCTGATTGGGAATTGTTTGATCAGAGCCCTGGCATAAAGTATTTAGGTAGACTATGAAACAATCTGGTCATGCTGGCACTGAAGTTGTACTCAGCACCTACCCGACCTGAGTACCCGAGTTTCCTGTCCTGGCCCAACATGATAAGAAGAAGCCTAATCTAACCAATCTACATGCCATGTAGAGACCGTCACTTAAAATCAGCACAAGATAAGTATCTTACCATGATCTGTATCGATACATGAAGTATTTGTATCCTGAATACTGGATGTATGCACTGATGAGTGTAGGGTAGGTGGTTGAGCACAGTCAACATGCCAGGTGCTTAAATCACATCAGACATGTTTCAGTGCAAAGCATATCTGCTGCCTTTTACCTGTCCATTGTGAGGAGTTTGTCTGACTTGGCAGAAACACAAGTAAAAGTTGTTTTTTTCTATTGTCACTTTATTTACACGCAGATGGTAAGTATTAAAGAATTAAAACACGATATTGTGGTTATGGGGGTGGTTACTAGGGAAAGTCCAGTAATAACATCGTTTTAGGTAATATTAAAATATACCTTTGGTTGGAGGTATCATTTAAGACAAGATTATTTGTATCAATCCAGGATTCGTGTGAGGAATCACAGTTGCGCATATATGCCTCAGGCCCAGAAAAAGTGTCAACTGATAAAATTGGAAATGAATATTACCAAATTCAGAGTGTTATAATTTAGCTTTATCATGTCTGAATGTTTCATCTTTGTAATGGTGATTGTATTTCACTGATATCATCATACAATAAAGGGAAAAGGACTTCATACATAGTTTTGGATTATTGTAATAATCAATTTGTCAGCCTTGAGCACTTAGTTTTTAATGCCAGATAAATTCCTGATTTAAGATGCTAATATGCACTTCAGAATTAAAATTATTTTAGGGGGTACTAGGAAGTAGAATGCTGGGTACACTTACAAATACTTTCTGATGATGATGTGTTAGTGGCTGGTGCTGCGAGTAGAGCAGGTCATACTTACCCTTGTCTGGAACACCTGATGTCATCACTCGTGGGGTGAGGTGAAATGGTTTTAAATGCCACAGTTTAACATGAATGCCCAACTCAAACTCCAAGCCGACCAGTCCTTCTTCTAACCCCTTCATGCTGAGTGCCAGGCGGGGTAACAACAACTTCAGTACCATCTATTAATGTCTTTTGGTATGACACATGCCAGGGATCAAACACCAGACCTTCCTCTCAACCAGGCGGATGCTCTACAACCAGACCACGGAGGCGGTCGTGTCATTACTGAATTTCAGTGATCCATTCATACAATGTTCATCATCATTTTGCCTTTTACTCCCAAAGGAATCTCTTTTGGCAGATAATTGAGACAAATTATTTTCTAGCATATACATATTATATTTCTTTGTTTTGCAGTTACACCACAAACTTATCCCTCTAACTTCACATTTGCCTCCTACTATGGGAATCACATGGTTCTACAAAGGGCACCGAAACAGGCAGTCATCTGGGGGTACTCACCAAACATCGGAGAGGTCATCAAGGTCAAGGTGGAAGGTCAGGAGACAGTGTCAGCAACAGTTTACAAGGACAACATCTATGGTGTCGGCATCTGGAAGGTGACCTTGCCCCCTGTGTCCCAGCCAGGACCGTTTACAATCACAGCTTCATCAGCCTTGGAGGCAATCACCCTGACTGATGTCCTGTTTGGGGATGTCTGGATCTGCTCAGGCCAGTCCAATATGCAGTTTACTGTCAACAGGGTATATTGTCAACTTTTTTAGATGTGTGTGTGCGTGTGTGTGTGTCTGTGTGCGTATGCTGGTGTGTCTGTGTGCGTAGGCTACTGTGTCTGTGTGCATATGCTAGTGTGTCTGTGTATGTGTGTCTGTATGCATATGCTAGTGTGTGTGTGTGTGTGTGTCTGTGTCTGTGTGCGTATGCTGGTGTGTCTGTGTGCGTAGGCTTCTGTGTCTGTGTGCATATGCTAGTGTGACTGTGTGTGTCTGTGTGCGTATGCTGGTGTGTCTATGTGTGCATATGCTGGTGTGTCTCTGTGTGTGTGTCTGTGTGCATGTGTGATGCAAAGTGAGAGTCAGAAGGATATTTTTCAGTGAGTGAGTATAAGTAAATGTCAAAAATTGTCAACGGGTATATTGTCAACTTTTTTTGATAAGTGTGTGTGTCTGTGTCTGTGTGCATATGCTAGTGTGTCTCTGTGTGTGTCTGTGTGCATATGCTAGTGTGTCTGTGTCTGTGTGCATCATCTTCTCGAGGCAAGAGAGTTAACTGACTTTGAAAGTCCAGTTTCCACCCTTGCCGAACTAGGCTTGAATTCCTGGGCTCGATTGTAGCGCCACCAGTGGCTATTACGAATTATGTCCTTGCTATGCCTCTCCTATTGACCAATCAGATTCAACCTCTCGTATCACTTGCATTTGTTTCAAACAAAACGGTGGCGCCCAGTCAAGATGATCTGATCGATAATCAAGATCTATATTGTGATAAAAAGAGTCTTACATCGCGAAGTGCATCAAATCACGTGAGCACATTGATTTAAAACATGAAAAGATTTAGAAAATATCTGTTGACAACGAGTTAGCAGTGCACATGCTTTGCTAATCCTGCAGTCGACCGAAATCTGCATGACACTCTACTTTTATAGTCAGTTAACTCACTTGCCTCGGGAAGATGGTGTGCAGATGCTAGTGTGTCTGTGTGTGAGTGTGTCTGTGTGCATATGCTGGTGTGTCTGTGTCTGTGTGCTTATGCTTGTGTGTCTGTGTGCATATGCTAGTGTGTCTGTGTGTGTGTCTGTGTGCATATGCTAGTGTGTCTGTGTGTTAGTGTGTCTGTGTGCATATGCTAGTGTGTGTGTCTGTGTGCATATGCTAGTGTGTCTGTTTGATGCTAGTGTGTGTCTGTGTGCATATGCATGTGTGTCTGTGTGTGTGACTGTCTGTATATGCTAGTGTGTCTGTGTGTGTGTCTGTGCATATGCTAGTGTGTCTGTGTCTCTGTTAGTATGCTAGTGTGTGTGCATATGCTAGTGTGTCTCTGTGTGTCTGTGCATATGCTAGTGTGTCTCTGTGTGTGTGTGTCTGTGCGCATATGCTAGTGTGTCTGTGTTTGTGCATATGCTAGTGTGTGTCTGTGTGCATATGCTAGTGTGTCCCTGTGTGTCTGTGTGCATATGCTAATGTGTCTGTGTGTGTTAGTATGCTAGTGTGTGTGTGTCTTTGTGCATATGCTAGTGTGTCTGTGTGCATATGCTAGTGTGTGTGTGCGTATGCTAATGTGTCTCTGTGTGCATATGCTAGTGTGTCTATGTGTGTGTGTCTGTGTGCATATGCTAGTGTGTCTCTGTGTGTCTGTGTGCATGTGCTAGTGTGTCTGTCCGTGTGCATATGCTAGTGTGTTTCTGTGTGTATGTGTCTGTGTGCATATGCTAGTGTGTCTCTGTCTGTGTGTATATGCTAATGTGTCTGTGTGTGTGTGTGTCTGTGTTAGGATGCTAGTGTGTGTGTGTGTGTGCACGTATGCTAGTGTATCTCTCTGTGTGTGTGTGCATATGCTGGTGTGTCTGTGTGCATGTGTGATGCAAAGTGAGAGCCAGAAGGATATTTTTCAGTGAGTGAGTGAAGGTAAATGAAAAAAATTGTTGTGTTGCAGTTTTTTAATACACATGAGAATCTAATAATCACTTTATTATCCACTATTGGCTGTTAAAAGAATCTGTGTGACCAAAAGACATTAAAAGATGGTACTTGTTGTTACCCTGTCTGGCATTCGACATTTAGTGGCTAAAACAATGACTGTTTGGCTCGGAGTCAGTACACTGTGCCTGAGTGGGATATTCATGTTAAACTGCGGCATGGTATCTCAATGGGCTTGCACTATAAAATCGGCATTAGTTCGGACAAGTACAAGCAGCCACACACACACACACACACATATGTATGCACGTCGCTTTATAAGTGCAATGAACACGACATTAAACCTCTTTCACCTTACCTGACTAACACTGGTAGCCTGTTTTGTCATTATTTTGGTGACATATATATGTTTGTGCAGACAAGTGTATTTGTACTAACCTTACAAGATTTGAGAAAGTAAACTTTGTAAACTACTGATTGTATGATTACAGCAAGAACTGACATAAATTAGGGATCAGCCATGAGTATGTTTCAGCATTCCTCTTTCAGATGTACAATGGAACAGCTGAAATAGCTGCAGCAGCCAACTTCACCAACATCCGACTGTTTAGTGTCACTCTCAAGTACAACCCCAATGAAACTCTGGACCTTCTTGCTATAAATGAAGGATGGTCCCTACCCAGCAAAAGTAAGTAACAGTTGGCCATTCAGTGATGGAGCAGATTCAGATTAATTTGGATGTAAATAATAAATATTGGGCCAAGTATCAGTTGCCAATTTAAGCTCAGTTTAGCATAAACTTGGTGTGAAGGAAGATGTAGCGTTTACAATAGTATTAGCGTCATGTCATAGGTCGCAGCCCATAGGTCAATGTGTGATCTTGTAATACGTCATCATTATTGCTGTTAGAATATGATGTCATAATATGATGTCATACATGGACATGTGGCCACCATGTTTTAAGGCTAAAGCAGTGTACCAAAAGAACACAGAATAACCCTACTGTTGCAAAAGAATTCAGGGAAACTTAAGCTTACAATAATTATCCAGTCAGAGAATAATCTATATTATAATGCATACTTCAACACAGAAGCAAGTATGTGAAGTTCCTTGTGTGACTATTGTGGTGTCTACTTGCAGAGAGCCTGGTGGACCACACTGGATCTGTGTACTTCTCGGCTGTCTGCTGGTTGTATGGCAGGCTCATGTACCAGGAATTCGGATATCCAATTGGATTGATTGACACATCATATGGTGGAACACCCATCGAGGCCTGGTCTTCAAGAGATGCCTTAGCCCAGTGTGGAATTCCTGCCATGGACATTGTGGATTCATACATGTACGTAGCCCTTAGCTGTGGATTCCAGATTAGAATTGGTCACCTATGAGATGACATAATGGATCAGTTGGTTAAGCTCAGTGATTGTGTGTCATCATACCACCATGGCATGGATCATTGCTCATAACATCAATCACTGGTTTGTCCAGAGTTGGTTATTTATGGACGACCATCATATGGCTGGAATATTGCTCAATGTGGTCAACAAATGTACCAATTTATCGTTCTTCAAAACAGAATATTAAATGTTGTCTTTGTGTGCATCGTTGTTTAAAAAGATACATATTAAAGCAGTGTTCAAAATAACTGCAAGACATAAGTGTTTTGTCATGTGATTGTTTACAATGTAGCACAGCCCCATGAGAATGCTGGGACAAAACTTGTCTGAAGTTCGTCATTCCTCTTCTAAAAAACATTTCCAGAGCAATTTTAGTGCTGAGACTGTAGTAGTTCTCCTACTTTGACCTTTACATTGTAAGTTGCCATCAGAGACTGTTGTGATTCATTGTTGTTGCAGCTAGTCAATTACGACCATGATTACATCCCTAGATACCATACTGACAGCTGGGGCTATAGAAAGGACAGCATTTTTATGAACCCCAAATTGTTTGCCCTCGTTGGTAATAAACAGGCTTAACGACACAGCCTCTAAGATCATACAAAGGATATTCTTAGTAGGCTTCAAATTAATTTTTAAGAAACTCTAAATGTAATGTAAAACTTCAATTTTCTTACCTATTTGCCCACCATATTTGTTACTGAATGTTTTTGTCTCCATACGGCCTGGTCAGATGTATGTGATGCATGTTGACAGATATGAGTTTGAGAAGACACTGCCAGGCTACACCAACTCTCACACTCCCACCCAGCTGTGGAACTGCATGATCCACCCTCTACTCAACATGACCATATATGGAGTCATCTGGTATCAAGGTATATAGAGTTAGGCTCCGTGTTCATGGAATGTCGATAGAGTGATAAATACTCTGAACCCATTCACCACAGAACCTTAATTTGGGAAGTCACCAACTCTATCTCTCTTATCACTACCTAAGACTCATCAACTGGAAATGAACAACCAATAAGAATGCCTCTTCTCAATGCTAGTTCAGCAAAATTTCGGGCTTGTCATACAAGATCTATGTAATCAAATCAGGAGACTGCAGGCTAGGAAAGAGACTTTCCTGAGGACTAAAAATGGAGCATTGAGATGTTCTGGTTGCGTTTGAGATGCCTTGTAAGTTGAGTTGAGTACTGATGATGTCTCAACTTGTTTCAGCCAAGATTAGTGTAATTTTATTGGATGTCTATTTTTAGTGTCATATTCGGTCGACTCAAAGCAAATATAACCGGGATCCACCTCCCGTCCCCCAAATGCCAGTGATTCCTCACCCTATTCCCAGAGAGTTTCCCGTTATCCCAGTGATCTCTTACACCCTGATGTCAGTGACCTCCCACCCTATTCCCAGTGACCTCCCACCCTGATCCCAGTCACATATCCCAGTGGGTTCTGTAGTGTATTGCCATTGTGATAAGTGCTGTAGTAAGTAGTACCAGCTGGCTCGCACTATGATGCAGCTGATGACGTCACAACGGACCTCATGTACTGCCGCCATGATAGAAGAATAAACCCATGATCGTATCCCCATGTCTTCGTGGTTTATGGTACTACATTGACATCACAGGTTCCGTGACCTATTTTATCACTATGTCTCCCATGCAGGAGAGAACAATGCCCTGCCCCACGCCAACACCCACAAGTACAACTGCACCTTCCCTGCCATGATCTCAGACTGGAGACTCAAGTTCAACCAGGGCTCACTAGGACAGACTGACAAACTTTTCCCTTTTGGATTTGTTCAGGTAACTGAAACTTCTCTGATGTGTCATTATGCACACAGACTGATATCAGGATATACAGCCATATTGAAATACCCCTGTTAGGGCTGGGACGAGTCCTACCCAGGTACCCAACCCCCTATTACCTGACCCTACCCAAATACCTGCTATTGGTCTCAAGAGTTGGGTACAAAATGTCCGATTGGGAATTGTTTTACTGTTCCAGTGGCAAAAAGTATTTAGATGCATGTATAAAATGATCTGGTCATGCATACACTGAAGTTGACTGAAGTTGTATCTTTACTCAAAACATATAAAAGTCAGAAGGAATGTGCCAATAGTCAGAAAGATATGCGAACATTAGCGATTTGTAGGTAGCCATGGATTTTTTTTCTCATTAAACAATATATCACGTGACTAACCTTGGGTCCGGGTAGTCCTATGGGTACCCGGGTCCTACTCAGTACCCACCCAATCCGAGTATCCGAGCTACCCGTCCCAGCCACTGTCATTATTCAGCCCATCGTAACTTCCTGTGGTCGGTCATGTCTCAAATATAGTGCAACCTTAAGTCAACTTTCATTTTGAACAGACAACTATAATGAAGGAAACTTTTTTGTTGCCTTTTGTTGTTTCCATTGGCCTGATATTACATTTTCACCTGAATTTTGACATCTGTGTGCACCAGTATTATGAATGTCACCCCCTTTGTAAACAGAAAACTGCAGGAGGAATTTGATTTTTAGCTTTAGATCTTTATTTTGAATTATTAAGATAAAAACTATTTTGGACAGTGTGAAATAATAACTTGAAGTTGAAATGAGCTACATAATCTCAGTTTGTCCTACAATATAGCTGGGCCCAAAGAATCCCAACCCTACCTCACGATCTGGGTTCCCAGAGATCCGGTGGCACCAGACCGCTGACTATGGCTATGTTCCGAATCCTAAGATGGAGAAAACATTCATGGCTGTTGCCATGGATCTGGCTGATTTTGGATCTCCGTATGCATCGTGAGTACACTAACATTGATATCAGTATGCTTACATTTGCTCAACGGCTAGGACACGGCGACTGTTGCCCCTCCCCCCCAAAATCGAAAGATGCCTGTGGCGGGATCAGAGGATCCGAAGTGGCCTCAAGGTCCCTCAAAGGCAAATCCCTGTGGGATTATACGCTGAGTTATAACTTTTTTAATTTCTAGGTTTGCTGTAGCAATTAGACACACCATAGCCATGCTGTAAAGCCGTTCAACGGCGACCATACGTCAGGCGTACAGTGGCCTTGCAGCTTCCCTGTGTAGCAGTAGCGTCATTCTGGCCGCACGGTGGACGTATGGTCTCCCTGCAGCTACCTTGCGGCTGCCCTGTGTAGTAATAGCATCAGTCTTGCCGCACGGTCGACGTATGGTCTCCCTGCAGCTACCTTGCAACTGCCCTGTGTAGCAGTAGCGTCAGTCTGGCCGCACGGTGGACGTTTGTTCTCCCTGCAGCTACCCTGCGGCTGCCCTGTGTAGCAGTAGCGTCAGTCTGGCCGCACGGTGGACGTATGTTCTCCCTGCAGCTACCCTGCGGCTGCCCTGTGTAGCAGTAGCGTCAGTCTGGCCGCACAGTGGACGTATGTTCTCCCTGCAGCTACCCTGCGGCTGCCCTGTGTAGCAGTAGCGTCAGTCTGGCCGCACGGTGGACGTATGTTCTCCCTGCAGCTACCTTGCGGCTTCCCTGTGTAGCAGTAGCGTCAGTCTGGCCGCACGGTGGACGTATGGTCTCCCTGCAGCTACCCTGCGGCTGCCCTGTGTAGCAGTAGCGTCAGTCTGGCTGTACGGTCGACGTATGGTCTCCCTGCAGCTACCTTGCAACTGCCTTTGTATTTGTCAAAAACCTACGGCTGCCGCAGGGACGCCCTTAAGACTAACGTGCGTCATCACTTCAAAGGCCGTACAGCAGCCGCAGGTTTTCTGTCTCCACAAATTTTAAATACGGCGTGCGGCTACCCTAACATATGTGACTGCTACAGTATGTTACCGTGGGAATGCTGAGGTGGCCCTATAATTTCTACTGGCTATAGATATTTTAGACCCCACGGCCCCCCGCGGCAAATGTGACTGAGGCAATAGCTGACTCCTATCTTCACTCCAATAATATTTACAACAGTTCACTGTCTATGATATATTTCCTGTCTAAACAAAGTTTTTGAGGGGATTCATAGATCAGGTTCTGTCTGTGCATCATGTTTTATTTCTAGAGCTTATAAGCCATTCCATATTACTTAATTTATTAAGTAATAAGTAAACAACTTGACCAAAGATGCTGACTTCACATACTTGTTCCCTCCATAATGAATGACACCCCAAATTGTTCAAGAGGTCATGGCAACCACACTGAAAAAGCTGTTGATTTCCTTTACTCAACCATATTGGTACAAAATGTAATAAATTTTGGTACATGTATAGAAGGTAGTAGGGAGCAACATATCTCTTGCGATATTTTGCTTTTTGCCCTTGATTTAATCTTTGAACTTACTGAAAGCTGAAACTTCTTATAGACGTTACTCAGACATTCTTGTTTAAAATGTAATGTTTTGTTGGTAGTGGGGCTAACCACATATGTTCCGTTGTTTCAGTTACTTTAAACTTGAGTTTTATTTGACCATTGCACCTTGACCAGGCTCCAAAATTCTCTCAATTTCATTTCCTTGTTCTGTAAATATAAACTCACTGGACCAATGAAACTGGGGAGCTGAACGTTGGCATGTATGTTCTTCTGCTGATGACATCATATATTGTTCCAATCATCAGATTTTAAGTTCAAAGTATTCTTGTACAAGACATCAAATCTGACAGCAACTTTTGTTAGGCTTAAAAAAATTAAAGAATTGGCTCTCAGGCAATGGCTTCTGAAAAATATAGTGCGGGTGGCCAGCCGGCCCTTTTTTTTCGTTGACTGTTTTACCAAATAAACAGTTGTGTGCAGTCACCTTGGGAAGGGCTCCCTACATAAATGTATTCCTTGACAATTAAAATACTGGAATACAGTATTTGGTGCCGTTGTACTACCAGTGTGTGCATAATACACACATACAATGAGCTTTGATTTTACTTCACAATGCAAAAACATTATTGTGGGCTCACAACACTGGAAGAAGCATGTCGACAAATCTGTACTTAAGTACACAAGTTACTCCTATTATTACACAATCTGGCTATAAAAGTGTTCATTGTGTGTCTGGATTTGCGTTTTTATCCATTATATAACTTTTCTCCAAGATTTCATTCAAGTTTGTTGACATTACTTTTGGTGAAATTGTGTATCATCTGATTGGCAAATCACTGTGAACTCGCCTTTAAACGAACATTAAATACAAAGTCTTCGGTCTTTCTATCAATTTTGGTTTCAATTATGATACTGACCATGACATGCATGAAGTGTTTTTTAAATTGAATCACCCATAGAACTGGGAGAAAATGTGTAAACCGCTGATTGCTATTTCTGGTTTATTTTACGAGACAAATACACATGTAATCATATTCTCTGCGTTTGAAACATTGTCCGCCATACAGTTCACAAATACCATTGAATTTGTAAATCATCATATCTTGTGATATTTCATAAAACAAAAATCATGTTTTTATTGACCAAATTTGCAAACGGCAAAACAAGCACCAAAATATTGCCACTATGACGATAACATAATATTATAACACGAGATGTGCAGGGAAGTAACTGCACGCTTATATTGGAGCTTGTTGTTTCTAAGTATTGTAGCATTTCACTGCAAGGGTAATGTGTGTTCAACACCCGGAATATTTAAGGATTTCTTTTGGGAAAATGAAAATAAAAACAAAATGTGCGGTGGACTATGTGATGATGCTGCAGTGCCTGAGAAGCAAGATTTTTCTTTTTTTAGTTTTAAGTGGCTATCTTTGTTGAGATTTTACACTGTTGACTACATATCCAGGTTAGCTACAGTGCCTGTAGCAGTATTTTCACATAAAATCTTGTTTCTATTTCCCAGGGTCCATATTCGAGACAAGCCTGATGTTGCTAGGAGACTGTACCTCAGTGGACTGCGGGTGGCCTATGGCAAGGATGTCCTAGCTGATGGCCCTCTTCCTAGCACTGTTGTTGATAACTCAACCCAGCTCATCTTGACTTACAAGGAAAAACTCATGTACCGCAATCTGGAAGGATTCGAGGTGAGGGTGGGCTCACTGTTTACAAGATGTTCAGTTAATCTCGTAAGATCAGTCTCAGGTTTGTCTGATCCAGACTTGATTATTTAGAGGCCGCTGTCATATAGCTGGAATATTGCTGAGGTGGCGTCAAACAACAATCAAACAAAGTTAATGGTGTTTTCACAAGCAGCCTGAACTGAGGGACCGCCTTCGTGGTCTAGTGGTAGAGCGTCTGCCTGGCGAGCAGAAGGTCCGGGCTTAGATCCCAGGCCACACCATCAACAAAGAAGGTACTTGTTGTTACCCTGCCTGGTACTCGGCATTAAGGGGCTAAAACAAGGTCGGCTCGGAGTCAGGAGAATCTGTCTGAGTGGGGTATTCATGTTAAACTGTGGCATGGTATCTCAGTGGGCTAGCACTATAAAATCGGCACTAGTCCGGACAGTTAAGCAGCCACACATACACACGTGCATGCACATTGCTATATATCTTGGACACAACATAAAACCCCATTTCACCTCACCTGACCTGCACTGAGTGTCTTGTACTGAAACAAAGAAAAAGTAAACACATCATCCGTCGTTCATATCAATCTACACAAAGAGCATGCACAATATTGCAACAATTATAAAACCCATTAAACTACAAAAACTTATCAGTAAAACTTGAGCTTCTCTGGTTGATTTATTCCATGATGTTCTCTTGAAAATGAAATATTACAACCAGTAGCTATTACACAAGCACCATAATGGCTGGACTGTCAGAAAGACATGACTGCATTACGGTGTTTTGGCAATTGTCAAAAGACTGAATTTCAAATGGCAGCATTCCCATTATGTATGTAAAGTATTTACAGAACCATTTTGAAAGTAAATTGTGAAGAATGCCAATAATGTTTCTTGTGAACTGAGCTAGGTTTGTTTCACATGGTGAGTTTATGTTTCAGGTACTGTGCTCTGAGCAGGGAACTAGCAAGACATTCTGGACCCCCACCCCCATCCTGTCTGCCCTCTCTACCAGCATCACATTGTACTCCCTGGTGTGTGGGGAGGGGCAGACTGTCCTGGGGCTCAGATACAGCTGGAGGGAGTCCCCCTGTGCCTTCAAGACCTGCACGGTGTACTCGGCGGACAACCCTCTCCTCCCTGGACCTCCCTTCCTGGTGTACCAGAAGATGACCGGGGTAGCTGGGACAGTTCACACTATAGATTGGAACACTCCGACTGCCATTCCTTAAAAAGACCTCCCTTCCTGGTGTACCGGAAGATGACCGGAATGGATGGAACAGTTCACACCATAGACTAGAACACACCTAATGTCATTCAAAATTATTACATTAAACAGGTAGAAACACAGACTTACAGACACAGTATTACTTGGACTGGAACACACTGTCGTCCATTAATTGAAATGACCTCCCTTCCTGATGCACCAGGAGATGACCACAGAAATGTCTTTAGCAGCTGGCTGGCTTGAATTTTGTAAAGGGGGATAACTCTTATTAAAAAAATACCAAGAGAAGGTAACTCAAATTGGAAATTTGCCATAGTTTGAAGACATGAGTCCTGAGGTTGAAGCACAATATTTATCAGTTTGCTGCTTGGCACGGATAATACAATAGAACATTTTTGTACATTATGCTAAGTGTTATTGTGAATCTTTGTTGTCAATATGAGTAAGTAAGAACCTACGGGTTGCTGAAAAATATTTTGAATTGTATGACATCCTGTCACTGCATATGACAGTCGTCATAACTTTGATAGTGTTTTTTTGTTATTGGTGTATGAATGATATAGTTTGACTACCATAAGTGACTCTTATATATATGAATGATCAGGTTTGATGTTCATGATTGTTTGAAGCAAAGTTTGACAATCATAGGTGTATAAAAAATACTGGTTCATGTTCATCATATGTGAATCAGTGATAAAGTTTGATGTTCATGTATTTATGGACAATGCCAGTTTGTATGTTTTCCAGGCAATGCATTCTTTAAAAAACACTGCTTCTACAATAAGTGAAAGAAATTACGGAGATGAAATAAGTGCAAAAACATCCTTCTGACACCTTAGTCTAAAATTCACTATCTCTTTGTGGTGATTAAAAACAATGATTATGAGTGTTGATGGTGTATGTTCAACATGGTTCATTCCCCAAGTTGCTGAATAACACGGTCGTATCCTTCACCACACCACTATATGACTTAATGGGTAAAGGCTTGCACTTACTCAGGGGACAGCAAATACCAGCATTCCAGCAGAGCTTAACTTCCGGTTACCATCTATAGTTGCGCAGTCTACTTCCTGGTGCAGTAAGGGTCAAACCATCTTTCATAATAATAAATCCACATATATTATTACAGTCCAGAGAATCTTCATTGTGTAAAAGACAATTTGTGGGATTTTGTGGGATGTCATTGGTACTAACATGGTTAGGTCATGAAAAAAGATTACTTGTTAAGCTATACTAACAAGCGACACATAAAACCCCATGTACCCCGAGTGATCCTGCTACAACGAATTTATCATGCCGACATGTTTTAATATGACATTGTAAAAGAATTCAAACAACTTCAAAGTGATAGAAAACAGCTGTTCTATTGAGCTGAGGTTAGCTTGCTATGTCACCTGACTTCCATTGACTCGCAAAAAGCGTGCAGCTTTTGGCTTTCAAGTGGGGTATAAGGGATTTATTCTGTCTCTCCGAAATCTATGTGCAGCCTAATTTGCTTGTGGTGGGGTAGAAGAGATTTATTCCCCCGCTGAGACATTTATTCCCCTCCAAGGCGGGTTACACAGTATTTTATCAAGAACAATCAGACCAATCAGATCTCATCATTCTGACATGGAGGTATGATAATGATGTTTTTCACATCTCATATACTGACAAATATGATAAAAGATACTCAAGAATAAAATATGCAACATGTGTATTAACAGCAATGCGATATGAAATTGATAAGCTCATGTAAATAATATGTTTAATCTCTAACCATTTCAAGATACTCAGCATATCAAATATGAGCATATGTCTTTTGCAATGTTTATATTTAAGCACAATATCCCATTTAAGGTAGGTTTGTGCACATTTTACAATTTGAGTACAAGCAGGTTTGTTATGGTTTAAACGAATGCAAAACACTACCTCGCGGTGGTTAATGCTATTCAGTTCATAAATATATATGAATATAGATTTGAGAGTAAGGGAAAATCATTTTGTTTCTATTCAAACATGATTTTTTGCAAAATTATTTATAGAATGTTAACCCATGTATAAAACCTTTTAATACTTACATATTTTTTACAAACTGTATTAATTTTTATATATTTGTTGATATATTTTCCTCCACAGACATTGATATTGATACATGTATATTTTTTCACACTATTTTATACCATTTCAATAAATAAAAAACTTTTCTTTGAAAGTGTGTCAAAGATGTTTCATTATTTTACAGTGAGCAACAATTTTTGGTTATAAAATACACTGGAGGTATATTCCCAGGAAGGGGGTGTTTTTGTTGGAGATTATGTCATCTCTGTGACCCAAGGCTAAAGCTCCCCATTTTGTTGCATGTCTTGAAGCCTGACTATCACTGGAATCATTACAATGTGTGACCTGCCCGATCTTGTATTTGAAACAAGATGGAGTGGATCGTCACTCATACTATTAACTGTTTCTAGTCTTTGTTGACTTCTTTGTCACGGAAGTTGCTCCCAGTTAGATTCTCTGTTGATGGTCGAAAACTCATCCATTGTCACTGATTTGGGCCAGAAGTTCGAACTAATCACTGAAAGACAATACAACAAAACTTTCTCAAGGAATTATGTCTTGTCAGGCAATGTGTCGGGTGACTAGAAGCAGCAGGAGCTCCATCTCAGCTCGTTGTACCCATTTTGAACCATGCTAAGAGAATTCTTTTTACAGCACATTTCAAATTAAACCTATGGAAAGAATGTTAAAATTTTGTCAATGTTGACCAACACATAACTGTACAGATGTAGGTGATTTTGAAACAGAACAATAAAAATAGCAGTGTAATAAAGCATTTGATAAGATAATAAATAAAAGACCATTATTTTACAACACCATGTGTAGCCAAACCCAGTCAACTTGACATGTTTGTACTCACTTCTACGGAAGGAATGTACATTTCAATTACCAAGATGATGTGGATGATGGACATAAGTAGCATAACTTTTAATATAAACTGACGAAAAAAGGAAACATTACAAAACTGAAAGTTCCACACATTGGGTTCAAACCCTGAATAGTGTTACAAAATGTTTGAGCATTAATCGCCCAAATACAAGAACAACAGTTTGCTGAGTAATGCACTGCTACATCACACAGATCAGTGGAACTTGAGTTTGAAGTGAAACTTTTGCTGCACTTGCAGCATGCCAGCCTACAAAGATGTGGATATAAAAGGAACGTGGTTCTGTTCATTCCCAGGGGCGGTCGGGTAGCCTAGTGGTTAAAGCGTTCGCTCGTCAAGCCGAAGACCCGGGTTCGATTCCTGACATGGGTACAATGTGTGAAGTCCATTTCCGGTGTCCCCCGCCGCGATATTGCTGGAATATTGCTAAAAGCTGCGTAAAACCATACTCACTCACTCACTGTTCATTTACACCCAAACCGTTGAACAGTGACAAATAACATGCTGACAATAATGGTACTGAAAGAACAAGGTGTTGGTATGATACATCAAGAAACAACGCATGACCACGTTGCAAGGAGTTTTGGCTGAAGCCGAATGACAGTCACAAGGCTGATGGTCCGTTATAGGCATACTGGATGGACAGGAAACATTGCTGACGTTGGTGAGGCTAGACATGCACACCAAAAATACCCATGAACGTCGTGGAGCTTTTGTCCCCAAATACATTTTAAAAATATTGAAAGTCCAAGTACACAGTAAACTGCATTTCTCCAATCACAAAGATCAGTTTTTGCCTCAAATTGGTCAGAATGTAGGACACATGCACGAACATCATCACAATATAGATACAGGTGATGCCAGACCCGTTAGAGTCCCTTTGTATAGGCAAAACGAACCCATTAGGAAAGAATGTTCCAGACAGGTGCAAGAAATGTTCTAAACTCTGCACTCTCCCATTGTCATGGTTAAAAAACGTAATAGCTCTTAACAACTTGGCCGTAGATTATGGACCCCTCAATGCAAACGTATAGTTTTCACTCTACCACCTCTACCAATAATTTTAGCGTGCTTGATCGTGCTAGTGGCTTATGACAAATACCACTTCATCCAGATGCAAAACACAAGTCGGCCTAAATTACACCCGATATTGTTTTTGGATGGAACCGTCTCCCTTTCGTCCTGAAAAATGCTCCTATGGCATTTTTGCTAACCATTTCAGAGCCAAAAGATTTACATGTAAATGACATAATATAATGACATAAAGTTTTTTGAACATTTGAATTCACCTTAAGGGGGTATTCCAAAAGATCAAAGAAGCAGGACTCACTCTAAAACCAAGCAATTGTCCTTTAGTGCTCACTGGCGTTCTTTATTGTCAACGTCCTTTCGTGCTCACTGACTTCTTTATTGTCAACGTCCTTTCGTGCTCACTGACTTCTTTATTGTCAACGTCCTTTCGTGCTCACTGGCGTTCTTTATTGTCAACGTCCTTTCGTGCTCACTGACTTCTTTATTGTCAACGTCCTTTCGTGCTCACTGGCGTTCTTTATTGTCAACGTCCTTTCGTGCTCACTGACTTCTTTATTGTCAACGTCCTTTCGTGCTCACTGGCGTTCTTTATTGTCAACGTCCTTTCGTGCTCACTGACTTCTTTATTGTCAACGTCCTTTCGTGCTCACTGGCGTTCTTTATTGTCAACGTCCTTTCGTGCTCACTGACTTCTTTATTGTCAACGTCCTTTCGTGCTCACTGGCGTTCTTTATTGTCAACGTCCTTTCGTGCTCACTGACTTCTTTATTGTAAACGTCATTTCGTGCTCACTGACTTCTTTCCTACACATTGTTCTTTTTTTTCGTACGTCGTA